CGCCATGCTATCCCTGCCATTAGCTGCATTATTTCAGCTGTTGACGCTGTGGCGGAGGCTGTCAATCATGCATATACGGACCAGGACGCATTCATCAGGGGTAGTATGACTCTGATTCTAGACCAATTCCAGGTGGTCTTCGAGCAATTGTCTCATTCTTTTGGCTATTTACTTGCAATACGGCGACGGGGTCCGTTGAATTTCTCCTCATGGGAAGATAGATTCAAGGCTGAATTATTTCGTCAACCATGGTCGGGGGATACGGTGTTCAGTGGGGCTATTGCAGAAGTCGCATCCAAGGTGGACCGTCTTAACCAATTTCATGTATCTGTCGATCTCTTGGAATTCCCAAAAATTCAGCTCCAAGATTCTATGCGGCATCGCCGAACCGCACAATTTACCCCTTCTAACCCAGACCTCCGGGACTGTATGAAAGGCATGGCGCCTTCTCAAGCACGTGGCAGAGGCAGGAGGCCATTTCGTGGTTCCGCATCACGTCGCCCCTATCGACCCGACACTGGAACTGGACATAGACTGTCCAAACAGTGACTCAAGGAAGTCAGAGCTCGAATTGGTTCTGCCGGATCCGGTGGTTCCAGTGTTCGATTCCCCTGTAGGGGGGAGGTTAGGTCTGTTTGCTCCCAACTGGGAGTTTCTGGGAGATCCATTTGTCACAATGACTCTCATTCACGGCTATCGACTGCCTGTGGTCGGGGATCCACCCCTCACCATTCAACCCTTGCAGCAAATATATCCTCTGGATCGGGCTGCAGTCCTTTCGACTACAATCCAAACTCTACTGGAGAAACATGCGATAGAACACCTAGATCAGGTGTGCATAACTCCAGGATTTTACTCCCCGATCTTTCTGGTGCCAAAGAAAAACTCCAGCAAGTTGCGTCTCATCTTCAATATGAAGACATTCAACGCTCGATTCCTGCAACAACCACCTCATTTTCGCATGGTATCAGCCAGTCTTCTCCGCTCAATTCTGAAGAAAAGGGATTTCCTCATATCCCTTGATCTTCAAGACGCATACCTGCACATTCCGATTCACCCAGATCATCGGAAATATCTAAGGTTCACCTTCAGGGGCCATCACTTCCAATGGAACGTCCTTCCATTTGGAATCTCTACGGCCCCGTGGCTTTTTACTCGGGTGACCAAACCCATCAGTAGTTTCCTACATTCTCGGGAGTGACCTTCGAAAGCTATATCGACGATTGTATTCAGGCACAACAGGATCCAATCGTTCTTCAAATCCATCGGGAGTTCACCATCAGGCTGCTCAAACAGTTAGGGTGGCTCCTCAATTACGAGAAGTCGGAGTTAACACCAACTCGCAGACTTCAGTTCATAGGAGCAATCTTCGACACAGAACAAGCCAAGTTGTTTGTTCCCCAGGACAGGTGGACCAAAATTCAGCGTCTGGTTCCGCTAGCCTTGGATCACCCCAGAACTCTACGCCAGTGGCAGGAGTTGCTGGGCATCTTAACGTCAGCTCAGGCTCTGACTTACAGAGGCCAACTGCAGCTTCGCCCACTTCAGATATTTCTGCGCCCTCATCTTCAAACCAACAACCCTCAGGTGTTGATTCGGTTACCCAGGGAACTACGTCCAATTCTGCGTTGGTGGCTCAATGTACAGAATGTTTGCGCCGGCGTCTCTTTGGTGCCCTTCAGTCCAACCCATCAGTTGTTTGTGGACGCTTCTCTAGAAGGTTGGGGAGCCCACTTCCTTCAGCATCAAGTGGCAGGGCAGTGGTCGTCCGAAGACAAGTCACTCCACATAAACATTCTGGAGTTCAAGTATTACTGGCGATTCAGCACTGGGCGGTTCTACTCAAGATGTCTCACCTGCTGATACAGTCCGACAACTCGACGGTAGTGTGGTACATCCATCACCTAGGGTCGACGGGTTCAGCAGCACTCCTACAGTGGACGTTTCGTTTCTATCTTCTGATAGATTCTCTCAACATCGTCGCAAGAGCCAGGCATGTTCCCGGAACAAAGAACGTGATTGCCGACGCTCTGTCTCGTTCCAGTCGCCCGTCGCCCACAGAGTGGCAACTCCTGCCCAAGATTTTTCGGACGATAATTTACCCGATCTCTCCACCGAAAGTGTCAACCTGTTTGCCACTCGGTTCAACTCCCAACTGCCGAGATTCCAGATCCATCTCCAATTCCAGATCCACTAGCTTGGGATCACGACTGCTTTTGGCCATTTTGGCCATTCCCTGGGAAGGTCTCAAGCAGCTTATCGCGTCTTCCACCTCCGGCTCTACTTCACAAGGTCATTCAGAAAATTCTGTTAACCAACAAAGTACAACTGCTTTTGGTGAAGCCATTTTGGCCAGCGAAGTTGGTTCAACTCGCCGGGCCCAAAAGTCTCATTCCCAGTCGCTTAAGCAGCATTCACAAGGTCTCTTCCGTTAACCAACAAAGTACAACTGCGGGATTTTGGCCACCTACTAGTTCATCCGCGACTTCGGACGTGTATCCCGCGAGTCACCACAGACATTCAATCTTCACGTATGGCACATTTGCAGAAATCACTAATAGCCAAGGGTTATTCTCACAGAGTGGCCTCAGCTATCACTGCAGCTCATCGCATGCGTCTACACGCTCTTTGTATGACGATAAGTGGAAGAAATTTGAATGTTATTGTCGGGTCAGAGGATCGCTTCCCCTACTACTGCTTGAAGCCCCAGGTTGTTGCGGAATTTTTACAACATTTGCGGGCTACAAGGAAACTCAAGGGTTCCACTTTAGCCACCTACTTGGCGGCTCTTAATTCGGTCCTAGCCACGACTTCTGGTACGAAGGTTTCGACAGTACCGGAACTGCAGTACTTGCTTCGTTCTTTTAAGCTAGCCGACCAATCCAGGAAATTTCGTCCACCAGCTTGGGACTTATCCATGGTCCTGCGCCACTTAGTGTCAGAGCATTATGAACCCTTACAGGACAAGGAATTTGAACAGGTTTCATTCAAGACCTTTTTTCTTATTGCCTTGGCCACAGCGGCACGTATATCAGAACTGCATGCTCTAGATGTCAACCGTGTCCGTTTTGAAGAGAGTAGACATGGCAAGGTAATTTTGGGATTGCGCTGGGATTTTGTCGCAAAGAACCAGTTGCCGGGTCAACCTGATCGTCTTTTTAAAATCCCGCCTTTGTCTACCATATTGGGTCCAGCAGATGTCGAAGATCTGTCTCTTTGTCCAGTCAGAGCACTTCGCATTTACCTTAAAGCATCGCAAGAGCGCCGCCGTCTGCGTAAGAGACTATTTATACCCTTGTCTACTACTTCCAAGGCGGAAGTCTCTCGCACAACACTCTCATATTGGCTACGAGCTACAATACTCAAGCCTACACTTTTGCCGGTTTGCCACCACCTACGGCAGTCAACCCTCATGAAACCAGGGCATTTGCTTCTACTATGGCGTTGCATAGCAACTGCTCGTTAACTGCCATAATGGAGGGTTGTTTTTGGCGATCTGACACGGTCTTTTCGTCTCATTACCTCAGAGATGTGTCGGTGATGGATATTCAAGGCCTTCATCAGTTTGGACCACTCGTCCTTGCCCAGCAGTTATCAGCGGCACAACATCGCAGATAATGAACTTCCTTGTGCTCCGATGCTATATGGATCCCACTGTGCAGTTGATCCCAATTCGCGATCGTTTCTGCTTGTGTACAATCTGAATAAATCTGAACAACTTTTTCTGATTTACGTCTTTATTTCTTCCGGGATTTAGATTTCTCCTCTCATTTGTTTGAGACTACAGAGAGTCGCCACCTCACTTACTGTCCTCTGCTCCACGGAGTAATTAAGTCAGTGAAGTGAGTCCTTCCCGAAGTGTTACACTTCGTAGCGTTCATGCTCCTAAGTGCCTATACACATCTATGTGATCTTACTGTGGTAAGTAGTGGAAGTCATAAGATGATGTTGTGGTACTGAACATTAAAATTGTGAGTTTTACCGATTCAATTTCTCTTTCACCCTCCTCGGGACAGTGTCTGTAGGGGTTGTTTCAAGCAGGGGGGCTTGCCCGATACTAGTCGTTAGACTTTATTACGGGGTACCTTGGAAATCGTGGCGATACGACTGCTTACACTCGTTAAGCTACGTCTTTTCACTTTGTGAAGGTAGTGACTGAACACCACATTGCTCAGGAATCTCGGTCCCTGGGAGCAATTGTGCTTTGTAAGTCAATGGGTTCGAACTAACCCTCGCGACGTAGTAACTTGGTAGTTATTGGCCTACCTTGTAGTTGCTTCCCACGGTTGTTTGGGCATAACACTTAGCTGTTATCGCTTGAATTTCGGTAATCTATGACCCACCTTCCTACCGTGGGATAAGTGCAAGTCGTGAGATAGGATAAGTTTAAAATTTGAAAATTTTAACTATAAATTGTATATTTATATACTTATCCTATCTCACGCTGAGCGATAAAGTCCCTCCCTACCTCCCCACTACATAGATTACCACCGTTCCGGTTTTGTCCTATTATGACTCCAAGATCGAGAATGAGTATGTGAGGTGATCACATGGGTGAGGACTGCGCATGCCTCGTGTTGTCATGGACTAGTGAGCACGACTGAGACAGGAAGGCATGCACAGCACGGGGAGAGGGACAAGGTAGGTCTTGAGCAAAGTTTTAATTCGTTTCCACTCATGGCCGAATGAAGAGAGAGAGGTGCAAGTCGTGAGATAGGATAAGTATATAAATATACAATTTATAGTTAAAATTTTCAATTTTTAAATAGTTTTGTTTCCAAATCATGGAAATGATAAGTTGCATATTTGCTGTCATCATCAATTGTCTAGCGTATTATGCACACATTATATTATGATAAATACCTTTGACTCCTTGCAACCATAATTTTGTTTTTGTCTGGCTTGAATGACTTGAAGGATTTTATTTGATAATTTCACTGACACTGTTTCAAAATGTAGTGCAGACATAACTGGATGACCTAAGTGTCTTGTGTTGTCAGGCATCAAGCCGTTCGAATGCGCAGATTGCAGTAAGAAGTTCTCCAGCAGTGTGACCCTGAAGGAACACATGACAATACACAGCAACACCAAGCCCTACATGTGTGAGGTGTGCAACAGATCCTTCCGACAAGTCAGCTGCTTCCGACGCCACCTCATCACCCACACCAACAACACACCGTTTGCCTGCCAGATATGTTCCCGCCGCTTCTCACAGATGGTGTACCTCAGGTCGCACATGAAGATGCACACAGGTGATGAAGGGCACAGATAGCCTAACTAGATCATTGTTTGTTTGTTGTTTAATGCCACACTTGGCAACAGTCCAGCTACATGGCACCAGTCTGTGAATAATCGAGTCTGGACCATCCAGCGATCAACATGATCATTGATCCACACAATTGGGATACGATGACATGTGTCAACCAAGTCAGCATGTCTGACAACCTGATCCTGATTGTCGCCTCTTACGACATGCATGGGGTGCTGAAGACCAATTCTAACCCGGATCTTCTATCAGGAACACCACCAACTATATCAGGAAGTGGGGTAGCTGAGTGGTGAGAGTGGTGGCCTATGGTGCTGAAGATCAGGGTTCAATTCATAGCATGCTAGGGCTGTCAATGCCAGTCCTGTGATACTGAGGGAATATTGCTTGCAACTTTTAAATCATTACCTATCCTCATTGGAATCTTCATCTGGTTCTAACAGGGTTGGACAGTTCTAAGTTCTTGCTTACGTCTCTACTGACAAAGTTGTCTTCTGTTGTTTGTTCACGCAAAGTGATACGATGTTGTTTTCTTAAGTTTGACGAAAGCGTAACCCATGGATAAGACGACCCCCTTCTACAGACTGCTTTTTTTGGTCCTCAAAATTCGGCTTATAGACGGTCATATACGGTACCTTAAGAGGTTGTAGGTGCCTTATGTCAGTAATGTTTCAGGTGGGAAGCCCTCTGAATCGGTGGGTGGCAGCGACATATATTGTGAGACTTTTGTTTGGCTTGGGACAGACTAGCTTAGTGTTATATATATATGTATACCCGTCCAGTGTTCAACTGTCAGCCAGTAACATGAATTGGGTATGAGGAAAAACTCAGCTGTTAACACTACCAGAGGCTCTGCAGCTGTTGTTTCAGGATGTTTTGCAATTACATATGGGTGTTATGTGTTCTTAGGTGAACGGCCATTCCAGTGTGACAAGTGTTCCAAAGCGTTTGCTCATCAGTCAGATCTGGCCAGACACAAGATCATACATACAGGTCAGTATTGTTTTGTTATTATATGTAGAGTCATCATAAAAATGTGATTAAATGTACTCACCAATTTTCTTCAAAGGTAAAATGGCCAGATAAGTTACTCATAAGTTCAGTTAAGTTGAATGGCCTCACATTAAACATTAAACTAACAAAGAAAGATTTAAGTTGATGTCGTGTGTGTTTCAGGAGTGAAGCCCTATGAATGTGAAGTGTGCTCTGCCAAATTCAGTGATCCGTCAAGTAGGCGTAGACATTTCCGTGAACACATGAGCACAAAGCCCTTTGAGTGTTCTCTCTGTGGAGAGAAATTCAAGAGACAGAATCAGATAAGAGTGCACATGTCTAGATGGCATGGTGGCCAGTTGAAACAGGGCGAGCAGGTCACCATGGCAGGTGGTCAGCCCATGCTTGACCCGTCCGACACCACCGTTGTCAACATCATGATGCCAGGGACTCAAAAGAAATCTTCAGGAGAGATTGATGTGGAAGCTCTGGCCAATCAGAGGAAGATTGTCAGTCTCATTCAGAATCTCAACACAGGATTCGTTGTGCAGGAAGTTGAAATTGCTTCTCCATCCAATCAGGGTGGAGGAGACAAGGACCAGTTAGAAACTGAGACAGAAATTGGCCCTCAGAATGAACAGAACCAAATAGAGATCCCTCTCAGTGACTTGCCATTGATTCAGTCAGAAAATGGGAATGTTGAGAAGACTGTTATTGCCATTGCTGAAGTACAGGAGGATGGGAAGGGAGACAACGGAGCGCTTCCAGTGGAGGCTGCTTACCAAATTATACAGGAGTTGGCCGAGGGTAATGATGAACAGCAGATATACGAGATTCAATATCAAACAGCAGATAATCAGCTGGAAACTAGTATTGTCCAGTTAGACAACAGACCATCTAATGTTGCTGCTGCAGGGATGAGCGAGCAAGACATGGCTGCAGCGACTCTCTCGGCTGACACCACAGATGGTGTGGATTATGTAAAGGACCCTGACTTTGCCAGCCAGGAATACTTCAACTGGTTGTCCAACTTCACAGAGCTGTGTAAAGTGCTCAAGATTCCTCTCAGTCAAGTTCTGTTTCAGAAAATCAGCCAGGTGCATAAATCAATCACAGATTTCATGGCAATGCCATCAGGTGTGCTTAATGATAAAGAAAATTTTCGAGTTTTAATGAGTATATCTAAAGACTTAAATAACATAATTTCCAATCATCTTGCCTATGTGATGGACAATATTGACTCAACTTAGGTGATGCTAGAATTGTTGAATCAAAGATCCCTCTTCAAGTGTCTCTTCCAGGTGTATTACTGGCTGGCTCAGTGAATACTGGATTGAGTGTTTGAGACTTCTAGTTTTCCCAAACATCACTGGCTATTTATTTGTATTAACTTGAAACTGTTATTTATTATCCCCCGCAACGCGTTTTGCGAGGGGTATTAAAATGGACTCCGTCCGTGTGTGTGCCCCCGTCCGTCCGTCCGTGCACATTTGTCTTTTCCGGCGCAGAACTCTAAAACCGTTCAATATTTCTTCACCAAACTTGGCACATAGATAGATCTGGTGGTGAACTGGTGCCTTTTGGTAGTTTTGGAATTCTGAATAAAATATTTTTGGCGTTTCTGTGGCAACAAGTTTGACTTAGCCTGAAATTGGTGGTAGTGCACTTTTCCGGAGCAGAACTCTAAAACCGTTCACTATTTCTTTACCAAACTTGGCACATACATAGATCTGGTGGTGTACTGGTGCCTTTTGGTAGTTTTGGAATTCTGAATAAAACATTTTTGGCGTTTCCATGGCAAAAAGTTTGACTTAGCCTAAAAGTGGTGGTAGTGCACTTTTCCTGAGCAGAACTCTAAAACCGTTCACTATTTCTTTACCAAACTTGGCACATACATAGATCTGGTGGTGTACTGGTGCCTTTTGGTAGTTTTGGAATTCTGAATAAAATATTTTTGGCATTTCCGTGGCACCATGGCAACAAATTTGACTTAGCCTGAAATTAGTGGTTGTGCTCTTTTCCGGAGGTGAACTCTAAAACCGTTCACTATTTCTTCACTAAACTTGGCACATAGATTGGTCTGTTGGTGCACTGGTGCCTTTTGGTAGTTTTGAATTGTGAATAAAATATTTTTGGCGTTTCCATGGCAACAAGTTGACTTAGCCTGAAATTGGTGGTAGTGCTCTTTTCTGGAGCAGAACTCTAAAACCGTTCACTATTTCTTCACCAAACTGGACACATAGATTAGTCTAGTGGTGTACTGGTTCCTTTTTGGTAGTTTTGGAATTGGTGATAGTGCTCCTTTCTGGAGCAGAACTTTAAAAACCTTTCAATACTCTCCTTCCACTTTTCTATAATACACACCTAAATATTTGACATAGTCATACCTCGTAGACATAATCATGAAGAGTATTTTGCCATTGCGGGGGATATTGATGACTTTGTCTTCTTGTTTGACATTTGTACATGACATCACAAAATAAATCATGTTGTTTGTATTCATTGATGTACTTTACACACGACCAACTGAAGACACTTCAAGGAAAGTATCTGGTTTGAACTCACATACATAAATCATCAGAAGAAGCACATAGTAATAGTACATATGGCAAAATCCCGTCCAAAGGAATCAGCAATCATTTGTTGAAAAGCAACTCCTTTGACAATCAGTGCACAGTCAGGTTTGGGCTGATATTAATGGCACATCTGTTTTTCCTGATCACGGCTGGTTTCATTTCGTTGTATGGTTTCAGAATGACATAAATTGGAATCATTTTATCATCTGTATGTCCTACTGCAAGTTACAAGCATGCTCTATTCAGTACACAATGTCTTCATTACTTTTCCAAAAGAAGTTTTTGACATCATCTTGTGGTTCCTTTGTGGGCATATTTGGTGCAGAATAGGTTGAACATCTCCCCTTGGTTGTGATTATGTGCTTGCAGTGTGACCTGCTTGATTCTGTCAGCCTGAGGGATTGTTGCTCATGCAGACAGCCACTCATTAGCTATCAATGAGTCTTGCAGTTTTCGTATGGGTGGTATATCTGTATATTGCTGACATTTCCTTTTTGTATTCTTGATTTGATACAGCACTGAACAAATACTTCATGTTCATAACAAACACATTTTCTAAAGAAGTAATATTTATTACAAATATTTTCTTGATAAATTATTTTATCACTGGATAAATCAAAGCGATGACATATACAATCCTGTGTACAAATTATCAAATTGAAAAGTTTTAACTCGTAACAAAATGTTATATTAACAACACTCTAGATGTACATATATCACAGATGAGCATGAGAAGTGGCTTGTTCCATCTCATTTACCAGTCATCAACAACATTTACAATCCCAGGGAAACATGCATTCACAAAAACCAGTGCAGACGTCACATATTACATCTGAATGGAAGGTCCTCTGAACACGTCTCTAAACTACTCTCATCACATTGCATAAAACCATCCAGTGAAACATTTGAAGCTGTTCCTTCCTACAAACTGGATGTCTAACATACAGGATGCATGGACCTGGATCTATACACACTTAGGAAAATGTTCTAGTGATACCTTCTAAAGTGGTGATTTCTCTGATATACTCATCCACGGTCAGCTAATATCAGCCTCATCTGACCAGTGTTTTCATTCTCCCAGCATCAGTAGCCACATTCATTTTGTAGTTTATCTACAAATAAGCTTGCGCAGGTTGAACAATAATTTTGTGCAGCTCAGTATTGTTTAGTTGATTGGGCATCTAGTTGATTGGTCAGGCAGTTTAGTGCCACAAATGTTCAGGATTACTACTTGTACGGTTACATCTTCATCTACACGGATCTACTTCATGTATCTGTCTTCAGAGACGTTACTATCCTGTGTATTAAGTGTACTTTAAGAAAACATACTGCAGTCAAGCAAGATGAGATGACACACTATTTTTATTGAACTTTCTTCTGGGCTAATATTGAAATGTACATGAAAATATGGGTGTACATAAACTGGATTTAGAAATCTGGATTGAATAAACAAAATATTGCTTTCGGTTGCTTCATAGATTCAAACAGAAAGAGCAGACATCACAATGATACTGAGACAGGTATGATGCATGGAGTACGGAATGTTATGCCTCAAGTAATATTCTTTGGCGTTTTCAAAACAGTACAGCTGAATAATAACAGCTGATATTTATATCTGAACTATATCTGGATCTAAAGCTTTCAAAAAAACATCAGGACACACATGCTAAGTCCTGAGAAGGAAGCTAACAGAGAGGCTCGATTAGCCTGGTAACACAACCCTCAGTAAACACTAAGGAAATGGGCGATAACTCTCAATCTAATTGAAAAGGGAGATCACTGAATTACACTAACTGGTGAACACAAAGTCAGTGGTAGAATCAGAGGGGAAATACACTCCCTCTTCCCAGATTGCATGCGTATCAACCAAAGTTAATCCCTCCATGTGAGTTTTGTTGACTCAGCTTTGGTAATGTCAACCGTTCGCTTTTAAATTCTGTGTTCAGTCCCTGAAGCTGAAGTGTTTTTTCTATCATGATCTTTTAGTAATGTTCCTGTTCATGTATGCCTCTATTGGTTGAAGATTTCTATACAACATATTTCTCACATAATGGATTGAGACAAGAACATGAACACTTCCTCAGTAAGCCATGTGGAGATACTATGATCGCATACAAACTGATTCACTGTCAGGACCAACTTGACCAGTGTCAAATCAGTACAGAACGTCAGAGTCAAGTGTAACATCCTATTTCCTTCAGCAATGTAGGTTCAATCACTCGTATCTAAAAAACAAATTATTCATTGTATACACCCAGGTCTCTCTAAGCTTACTATTTGACAGTTCCTTTGTCTCGACAAGCACACACCACTTAGACTCTGAACATAAATGGCCACCACAAATTTATTTTTGTCTCGGACAAATGCATATGCTTTATGATAATGCTCCATCCCCTACAAGTAATCAAATATTAATACACTCTCATGTTGCTACATTGAATATCAATACAATGCATCTAAAAAAATATTCAATACACACTATGCAGTGTTTGGCATTTGGTTATATGCATGCATCATGTTATTTAACTAATTTGTTTATCATTAAAATATTTACATGTCCTCAGTGCAAAATATTTCTGCATATATCAGGGATGGCATGGCTGTCACCACAACTCCATCACTTAGTTTATGGGGAGATAGGTCAATGTGCACAACTTCACATGCTTAATGAGCTGAAATCTAATTTGAAATTAATATCACACGTCTATTTTCACTTAGGCATTAAACATGTCAGCACTTTCAAACTTGATGAAAGTTAATTCCAGAAACGAACAATATGTTGCTTTGTTACCCATATGGTGAAACATAACCAGTGTCGTATATATCAATGTGTACATATCACTTTTGGCCAGCAACCATTGTTGCTGTATAGAACGTGACAGCAATGAAGAGGGCCGTCACACTTGCCTACCATGTTTTACTGCACAAATGTACATGAATAAAATTGATAATGAAGAAATCATTACACTCGAACAAGTGTGTCATATGACTAATACACAAAATGTGCAAAATTATGTACTGCCCGAGCTCTTGCTTGGGTAATACAAAATTTCACACTCATTTCGTATAAGTCATATGACACATTTGCTCGAGTGTAATAATCTGTTTACATGCAAGAACTCAACTAACATTAACATAGATGGGATCAAGTAAAGGACAATCACTGATTTTGTTTCCTTCTTGTTAAACTTGTTTTAGAGAAATTAACTCGCCAGTATTGTGTTTCAGTCTCTTTTGAGAAGACCCATCTGCAGTTTTGATGACATTATGTTGCATGTGGTCTCCATACTTAGACCTGTATGACACTGAGCCCCATAAGAAATGTTTGTTAATATTTATAATCAACATTAAGGTTGTCACAGGATACCAAACAAACCAAATGTAGAGAAAGCTAAGTCTATAAAGTTTTGATGAAACCAACAAGCATCAATTTGGCACCAAGTCCTCCCCCATGTAGTCTTGTATGGTTCTAGTTACATCACATACTATAATCTAAGGTGCTATCTCTCTTCTTTCAAGTTGACCACAACATTATTGTTAGGCCTAAGAACTTAATTCCTGATTCATGAAGTACTTCAGGAAATACATTTTTCTAATTAACACCCCCATCCCCAAAGTTTTTTAAGAACATAAAATGCTGTGGATTCCAATCTGTGTCTTGTTATCTGCAAGATATCGGGCAGAACTGACCTGTTGATGGATTGTTCTGTCTTGCCATGGTTCTCTTAAACAAAATGATCATACATGGAACTAAACACAATACATATGACAGAAAATGGCAACGAGATCATGGAGTTGTCTCCCTTTAACTGGATATTTCTAGTAGCTGCAGTACATAGAGACCACAAGACTGCAATGAAGGTTTCTGTTTGTAAGTGAGTTAATAGAAAACGACTGCCATAAAAAGAAACTGACTGGGATTTGGGCCTTAGGACTCAACTTAAACTATGAAATGTGTCCTTGGTAATGTGCTGTTGGGGTAATAATTGATGAATAGGATATTAACCTTTAGTTATTGTTAGGGCTTCCATATCAATGGATTATTTGATAGCATACATATAGTCTGTTTGCAGTGAAAACGTACCGATGAATTTCACTTTTAACTAGAAAGTAAATCGAATAAAGTGAAATTAAGATTGCTAACCTTGCCAATTGAACATTTAAATCTTAGAATTTTATTCAACTTAGAAAGTTGTTTAACAAACGATCAGAGTTTCAAATCGCTATGATTGGTTTGTATTAAAAGGGGGTTTACACGTTAAATGAAACACCGAGAAAAAGCAGGGTTGGTCTAAGTTAACGCTCATCACGTATCGCACGTGCATTTGTTTTACTGTTCCAACTACTGCACTTACCATGCTTACCCCCTAATAATACAAACCAATAATAGCCATTTGAAACAGCTAGCATTTCACTGGAATATTTGATAGCATATTTACCTTTACATACTTTACATGTCACTGAAATATTTGATAGCATATATACCTTTAGTTATTGCTAGGGCTTGCATGCAACTGGAATTTTAGTTATTGTTAAGCCTTCCACATCACTTGAATACATCCCACAATGAAACATGGGAAGGGCCTTCTATAAACCACAAGGGTTAGTTTTATCATGCAACTAACCAAAGCATGGTTATCATGACAGCCATGGCACTGGGAAGGCTTTGTCAAAGAGGAAATGGAAAAGAAGAGACAGGAACGAGAAACAAACTACTTGTTCTGTGTTCCATGGGCAAGTACATGCAGTGACGACGGCTTGTTGCCTTCAGTGGGTGAAAGGACAACCCTCCATGGAACCAGTATACATGACATAGATATCTGTCAGGCAAGCGTGTATGCTGTGCCAGTCCATTGGTCCATTCCATTCTGGTAGCCATGGTAACCTGCATGACCATACACAGCACTGAAGCTGTATGTAATACTGGGCAAACTAAAGGCTACAAGACCCTGAACGTGGGACAATAGCTGAGAAGACACCACTACATTGACTTGACTGACTCCTGATTTCTTTGTAAACATGGAACTTGCCAAAATATACAAAAACTGTTTGTAGTTTCCATAGTGTCTCTGTAGACATGAGTACCGAGTGCAGCACAAGTCTAGCAACATAAGAAACCAGATATTGCTGAAATCCCTTGAATTACCTTTATGTTGAATCCTGTGCGTAATACGGGGCGGAGACCAGGGCTTTACACAGTTTGGACAGCTTTTCAATGACCCTCCCTTTACGTCAATGTATGCATGGTAGCAGGGCAATGGGTGTTCCTGCTAAAACTAACCAATTTGTAATTCCTCAGTTGCAGTATTAGGTCTAGTATGACATACACAGACAGAAAAACAGACATTGAATAAAGTATTGACATGTGAAAAGGTCTGTTGTACATGTCGATTTATACAATGACTTTGAAAACAATGCAAATACATAAGCCCTTTTGAGCATGAATTATCCACTACGTTTTTGTTTTGATTAATCAGATGCAAGTGGGAGCTGGCCAATAAAGTTTTGAATATGCTTGCGACTGTGTGATCATTCACGATGCACAGGATCAGTTGTTAAATACCTTCAATGGGAAGATGCAATATCACTTTCTCAAGGACTTTACTTCTATCCTCTGGCTATTTCCATCTACCTTCTTTGAAACCTTTCAACTATTTTTTGCCTTAGTCCAGCAAGCCAGGATTAATTTCTACTCCCGAACATTGAAAATTTGTGTGGTTCCACTGTAAACACAATCACCATGGTAGTCATGCTTGTTCTCTGTTAGAACTCGACATATGCATGTCAGAGAAGGGTTTGTAATTCTCAGACGATTCTTGCACCTTCCTCAGGCAATTATTCCATGGTATTATGATCAGACCTGTCTACTCAAATCCTACAAGACTGTTTATAGTTGAAACATTTGTGGGATAAACTGCAACATAAACAATTTGATACCTAAGTCTGGAATCATATGTAACTGAATACGTTTTTAATGATAACGGAATATCTATGAGACTATACGAAGATGCACCTGACCCACCGGCCACTTCTATTCCTGGTGAGGATGCATCACTCTCTGAGCTGGGGCTTGTTGGGGTGGTGCCACATGGTTCTGGAGGGGGAAGGGCTGAGGTTGTGGCTGCTGGGGACCCGCCAGGTGGATTTGGTTGGGGTGTGGCTGGAAGCGATGCACCACCTGTGCACGTGCCCTGTTCACGTGGTTCTCCCAAACCTCGGCCACAATTGGAGACGTTATTGTCTCCCCTTCTGGCTTGTAGATCAGCTCATGACAAAGAGGACAGTTATCTTGCACGTAAAGCCATTTTCTTAAACACACACCATGGAAAAAATGTTGACAGCCGTAACACGAGCACTGGTCAAATCTTGATAACATATAGCACACACATCATTGACACTTTCTAACTGTTCCTGTGTCGCCACCGGTAAAGAGTTGATTTTATTTACAGCTGTCCTCCTCTTTATAAACACCTTCCATCCCTCCTTTGCTTGCACCCAGATGTTGAAGTATGCATGGATGCACATCATCACGGCTCTTATTGCACCGCCGGATTCAAACACCATAATCCATGCACCATTGCAAAATAAGAAAATTCCAAACAGGAATTCTATTGTATTTCCTGTGGACTGAACAAAATACACATAATCGTCCAACTTCTCCCAGAAGGAATCACGATATGCATCAATCATAAATAATAAATAAACAAGCAATGATATAAAAACTTTGATGATAACTTCTATACTAAATGCAGTAACAGCTAGTAGCCATGTACTTGCATTATGATGGGTCCACAGGAATGTCAACAGCCACACAGGAAACACTATAAGAAACACACACATTCCTAATGCTCGTAAATGCCGCACAACATTTGTACTCCGAGATGCACTCAGAGACATCAGTAAAGGATTCACCATGTTGTGAACAAAATGTAAAATTGCTGTTGATAAAAGGCAGAAGTTTCTATACAGTCGCAGTAATCTTTTCTCAGGATCTAGACTCGTCAGTCCCGTTTGAAGGGCTAATATAAAAAACAAAATGGCTGCCACTGTGCCCATGTTCCGATCCTCTTCAGTTTCCGATCCTACACAAGCAGCCATGAACATTCCTATGTAATGAGTCATCAGAGACACAACACTAGTTAGTCCCAGTAGCGCTACGTTTGTCTCACAACTCCTCACGAGCAACTGCTGCCATAGACTTGACGAGAGATCCCATTGGAAATATGACAGTACCCCAGTTTCTATGTAACTGTCATAGACACTACTGACTATATGAACCAGTATTTGATGAACAAGTCTGATGATAAAAAACACTCGAAGCACATCAGGAACATGAATCCTTTGCCAATGATGTTCTAAAAATGCCTGAATACCTTCAGCCTGAACTGCTACTGTTGCTATATAGTATGCACGTTTCAATGTGACAACTATAAAATACAGTGAGTTATAAAGATCGGACACCAGCTGCAATACTGGTATGGACAGTGAAAGGAATGGAGACCATAAAAACAGATGAGAGTCACAATAGAAGGCTCTTAGACACAGCGGAGCTACCAGTGATAGGTATATACTCAGTCTTAATAGAAACTGCATACTGTTGTTATTTTCAATCTGTCTATACGAGTAGCGACTTGTGCGTAACACGATGAAGAGATGAGACAAACTGATCTGGAACATGAAGTTGGCGATGAGGCTGTAGGGGTCGTCAGTCAGCAGATGGAGCATGCTGCGGGGGCCGGTGTAGGCATACTTCTCCATCTCGGTAGTGAAGACATCCAGGACATATGCCATGTTGAGCCAGTGGGACAGGAGGAGCGCCCCGAAGGAGATGAGGTAGCTGTACACCTCCAGCAGCTGCTTCAGATCCAGGCAGAACATCAGGCACGAAGAGAAGAAACCTTAGGAAGGGGAAGAACAGTTAATGATTTTCATTATATAAATCCATCAGTGTCAAAAAATATAGTCTAATCTGAAATCCCCATCTTCTCCAAGAAAGAGTGTCCACTTGTCTATATACGAGTCCATTTTTACAATAGCCAGAGGTACAGATAAGCTGCGTAGCTGCGTAAATTAAGCAAATATTTATGTGAAAACTCAATTTCTATTAAGTCTATTGTGCATAAGTACCCTTGAATTTTTGTAAATACCCACTAACTTTGATCTTACATGCGTACACAAAAAAATGTCAAATCTTAGCTTGCGTACCGGTGGATAGATAAAATAACTGAGGTATATTGAGAGGTTCTATTTCAGAACATGAACTTGGCAACTTGCAGTCATTCTTATCATTTCTCATATTACAGATCAAATATAAATAACAAACACTAACATTTAAACTTTTTTATACTTTTTTAAATTAATGGAAAATGGCAAAATACCCATTGAGTTTGAGTGAGGTCAGAACAATTTATTTGGTTACTAAAAAGGAAAATTAGGGTACCCAGTTCAGATGAACACAAGTGAGTACACAACTCAATGACCCAAAAGTTATCTGTAGCTCTGCAATAGCCATTTGAAGGTCATTTTCTGTGCTAAAACATGAGAACTATAGATTAGACCGCAAACTTCTTTTCTAGAACACAACTGAATGCTTAGATGACCCCCAGCTGAGCATCTTGCAAGGACGGGCAGTAATACCTTATACTGAGCAGTCTTACAAGTCAGGAGGCTTTTGTTATTGTACAAGCTCAATATAACAGGTATCATTGGCTGTGGTAATCTCTTATTTTGAGTTTATAAAGGATAAAGTCTCAAATTGTTCCATTTAGTGATCAACCAGGTCGTCTGCTATGGCAGCCACTCATTCAAAATAAGAACAACAATCAGATTTGATGTCCCAGTTTCATCACAAGGGACACCACTCATGTTCTACACAGGATCTTGATCAAGCAAAGAAAAGTACGCTTCAAATGTCAAGGGTAGGAGTTAGACTTAAATACATGTATAGTGGACACTATTACCTCGTGAAGACAGAACCCAGATAAGGAGACATTTTTCAAGCCAAGGGAAAGACTTACTTGTACTCACGAATATATGCAGTGGTTTTGTGGAGACAAATGTCATTAAATGAGATATGTCACATAAATGCACTTCTTTATATGTGTTAAACGGTCAAACGAAGTACACATTTATGCACAAAAAGTGTCATAAGTGATTTTGTTCTTCTCATAAAAGCATACTGAAATCCGAGCTTTAGTTGATCAGTCAGCTGTGACGGTACCGCGGGTAGCTGTACGCAACCTTGTTTACCATGTTTACAGTGCGTTCATCTACATGACCATGAGGTTATTTTCCGACATTCTTGGTGTATAGCAGGCCCGATATGGGATAATGTGTTACAGGGTAGGGGTCCCAGGTCAGATCAATTTAGCGAGGACAGGGGTTAAAAAATCCCATCGCCCGACGCCCGGGACAAGTCAGTTTTCATTTCGGGCAATCAAATAATGGTACCCTACTTGTCCATGGGCTACTAGATAATTTCCACTTATGGTTTCAAACTGAAAATAGGCTGGATTTAATTTCATATCTGCTCAAAATGTAGCTATTAAATTTCGCAATGATAATAAAGTAGAGTTATCTTTTTTTGCTATTTATCACTTTTCAATAAATAGTCCAGTAAACATTAACATCAAATACCATCATGATGTTGATTTATTCTTTCATAATTACAGCATCATGATTATTTTCATAAAATCAGGGCAAGTGGAAAATTAGTCAGGACAAGTTACTTTCTCAAAGTCACTTGCCCTGTGGCAAGTCACTTGCCCTGTGGCGATGTCAGCTCGAAGAGAAAAAAATGGAATCTGACTTGACATGCCATATTCTATGTCTTTCATTTATAGGGATCAAGGCAAACTTAAGATATCTTGTTACAAAAAATGTGAGAGGAAAATTGAACAAATATGATGTACTAAGTTTGACAAGAATGACTTGCAGATATAAAAGCCACCAAGAGTAAGCATGGTAAGTCAAGGCTCCACTATGTCAGGTCACTTGATGGCAAATCTGCTCATTAAGTCTCAGCAGTTTCCAGAATATGAGTAGTTTTTAAAGTTTCTTCGCCACAAACATTGACTTTGGCCAGAAACAAATTTCTTCTTCAAGATCTTTTCAACAGTTCATTGATTATTCATTGAATTATTCATCTGTTCTGTTTCATTACAATATTTGACAATTACATCTAGGATATTTGGGATGAAACTCTAAGCTGTTATTAGTTCTTAGCATAAGATGTGGATATAATCGTGATTATAATGAAACAACGGAGCAGATAGAAAAAGCATGACGCTTATATCTGAGGTGGCAACAGGTAGACTGGGCACTGGCCCCATTATTTAAATTGCTCTGCTGGTGAAAAATCAGGAACCTTTACTTGCCCTTTTGAAATTGGATTTAGAAATTTTCAATTGCAAAATAAAGAGTAGACTTGTAAGAAAATCGTAACATACTTCCATAATATTTAATTGAGATTATGAATACTGAAGACATTTCATTACATCATAGATTAGAAGTAGCCGTATTTCAAGAATATGGGTTTAGGCCTACTTTCAATTCTAATTATTTCTGACATGAATATTTATACACAAGGCTTACATGTCGATCGACTAGTCACGTACTGAAATTAAAGGGTGATTATTTATGAATTTTAGGCAAATACATACATGTGACCATTCCGAATAACCACATCATATAGCTTCTCCATGCCATATCTGGATCGTAAGTGATAAACAGGTTCAGGAAGTTCCCCAGAAAAATACTGTCCATGACGAACAGGGAAGGGACGCGTAGAGCCACGTCTAGTACCCTTTCTACTCGGGATCGCCATGTCATTTTTCATCTATGGGGAGGTCTTGCTCCTCTCTTTTCTTTTTTCAAGACTTAAATATCTCTAGTTGCTCAGAAACTGGGGAAAAGTTTCCTCGCAACTTAGAAAGTACGCAGCCACAGCAGCGGTTATTTCACTTCCGGTACATCGATATGTTTATCCTCACAACTATTTCTACTATATTTCTATCACTGTGGGCACCTGTTGGGTAATAATTTGAAAGATGTAGTTATTACCTGAACAGAGAAACTGACGAATTATAACAGGTTAACAGGTTTCTTTTCTATATTGAGAGTTGAATTGCTATATGTCATGGTGAACGGGTGCAGGCTACAAGGTCACTGATTTTAAAGATGTTTGTGAGTGTTCCCTACCACCCGTTCCTTTTTCATGTAACAAAACACGTGCTTGTAAGATGCTCTCTTCAGCCTGTACCTCGATTGAGAAAAATGACAATAAATTGCTTTAATTCAATACATCAAAATCACAGCTGGTAGCTCTTCTTGTAACAACAGTGTTGAGCACTATCAACAAATACCTCCCCTGATGAAGTAAAGGATTCAATATAAAACCGATACTTGTGATAACAATCTTGCGTAAAGTAGTAACACAATACTTTAACGGGCAGATTTTTTTCTATTGTCTATTGAAAATATTTTTACATTACTGTACATTCCATTACAATATTAGATAACCACATAGTTACCTGTCACAGTCATCATCATTTTCTTAGACAAAAGCTGAATCGGAAATGCTTTGTAGAGAAACTTTCGCTTCGGGCGAGTTTCCGTTTTCGCCGGGTTGACGTTTTGCAGAGGTTCCGTTTCAGCTACAACACTTACGAGCAATAGCGTACGTAAATCCAGATGCGAATGCTGCTGAAAATATATAAAAATGAAAAGAACTCCAGACGTTTTGAAAAAAAAATATTACCTTTGTATATTTGTATATAAAATGCCCATCAAAGAAGTTTGTATGTAATGAATTATATGTGATCAAGGCGTTCACGCGTCACTCTGGAAGCCCGGGTTTCATTTCCCACGTTGGTACAACTAAACGTGTTCCCCCCTCGAGATATTGCTGAAATATTGCTGAAGCCATACTCGTTCGCTCACACACATTCACTTCCTCACTCACTCAAGAGTTTCAATGCTGCCTGATACCTTATCTGTCTTTAAGCTTCTATTCCCATAATGCCATCTACAAGTATCCTGACAAACATTTGTATGTAGACAGACAGCTGAAAGACGTTTTATTTGTGTGGGTATTTCGAAATGTTTTCATTCATTTCCAACAAGCGATTTTTCATGTTCAACTCAGAAATTCATTTTAAAATATTTTGATACGAATGTAAGTAGTTAAATTAATGTCGATAAATGAATTTATTGCTATAGACTTTCGGCATTTGTGTAACACAAATATGTTTTAAGTTATCCCCGCAAAATACAAGCATGGTCGAGGGTTTCTATAGCAGCTCCGACTGTCTGAATGCTTTTCCCATTGTCACATCTCGTTGTCAGGCGGGGAACTTTGAACTTGTTATATGTTTGCGCAAATAATAACCAAATTCTTGTGATTTCATTTAAGATGTTCAAATGATTTATGTGTTGTTTATGTTGAAACTATCAAACAGTATGGATACTTGGGTTCGTTTGTGAAGCACCGTCCCACTATGGTTTTCGAATCCTTTTTGATGTTACTTTTCGCCATATCTTGAACCCAACTATAGGAATGTTAGGTATGTCTACACGTCATACTCCAGACTGGTGATCTTTTCATATTAATTTAAAAGCAAAAACAGGTATAATGTATTTCGAAACCTATTTAGTTTCCATCATGTGAACTACATGTTACATTACATGCAAACAAGGAACAACTCACACCGAAAGCGTTTGTTTCGTTTGTGGTGTCAACCGATAGTTATAACCATATCCATATATGTCTTAGGTATATTTTATGATAAAGTGTAAGACAAGAACGTTTTTTCCAACCTTATCTTTAGATTAGAATTGTAGGCACGTGGCTTTAACTGCTACCAAATATGACGATTAACTCAGACTAAATATACAAATAATGTTCTCCATGATTGTCATTTATTAATTAGAAATATTGACAGAATCTACAGTTAGATACAAACTACACTGGTTTTAAAGGTTCTGGCATAATAGTGGCTGCCTTTTACTATCTCATTTCCAATTTTTATCAAATACTGTGATACTCAATATTTAATCCAGCAGAAGACTTTCCATAACAAAACTGTATATAAGAGTTGTTATCTTTGACAGTATATAATAGTACACGGACTTCCGGTCATTCTGACAGCGGAGGCGACTCTTCCGAGGAAACATCATACACATAAGATGGTGACGTCAGAAAGCAAGTGCACCCGTGACAGCTGTCGCAAGACAGTGCTGTGATAACACAATTCTTGCTTTATCCAGTGTAAGTTCTAGCCTGGTCCAGTTTTCACTGGGCTAGAGGACATACCTCGGAAAGATGCATGCGTACACAATGACGAGTAAGTCACCTAACTGGACATGTAATGTTCTTGAATTGTTGAGACAGTTTGCATGTTTACTGATCTCGTTATTATTGTAACTCCAAAAATCCTAGTAGAATCATCTGAATGACATTCCTAAAATACGGATTCAGAGACAATACAGATGTAAAACATAATGGCAGACTCAGACGTGTTACAGAATTTATTGATTCGTAGTCAGCATCGTTTTGTCGCATCTGGCTGGGTTGATCCTGTGTGTGAAGTGTAAGTGTAAGATCACAAACGAATATTATTTTACCCTTTACATGCAATTCTCATGCATAGTTAGTGCACATGGATAAATATTTTCATCAATACACTTATCTTTGGGCTTTAAAGTGAACCCCAAGTTTCGGGTACTAGTGAGGTAGTTCTAAGTTTCCAAAACGCCAACAATAACAAAAAGTCATTGAATTAATAATGTAGAAATCGCCAAGAGAAAAGTACGATATTCTTAAAGAAAACAAAAACTGGAGCATGGTAGGCACTGGCTTCGAATCACCTCTTTTCACTGGTTGTTTTTGTGATATAGCATAGCAAACAGCCATGTCGCCATCAGTGTTTCCATATTCAGCGACTGATGTATTTGGAAAGAGGATGATAAATGTGATGTTGTGTGATGTGTTTTCTCATATCAAATAATACTTGGACAAACAAATGTGAAACTGAGTGAAAGGAGCCCCTCAAGTTGACAGCAGTATGGGGTCACCTCGTTTTACCTTGGCCTGTCTGTGATTAGGTAAGCTGGTCAAAACCAGTCACAAGGTTATAGTCCATGATAAGAAATATATTACAAATAGCTTGCCAGGATAAACATTTCATGTCCAGTGAATTACTGCTCAGTTGGAATTCTCAGAATTGAGATGAAACAACATAGTTCCTAAGGAAGCTGAAATTTTTACTTATTAGATAGAAACTATATTATGTTACTTTAGATTCAGTTAAATTATTCGTTTATTTCCTAAGGCTTCTCTCATGTTTAATATGCGTGTCATGCGTTGGTGGTAATGTTACCTGTTATCTGTGACCACTCATCCAGTGTTTGAGATTGTAAGGTTCGGACAGGTACTTGTAGATGTCACAGGCCAACCCCGCTTGACTTGATCATCTGTTGTTTGAATGTTTTTCGTAAATTGAAGAGGCAGAATGCCTCAGCATAGTGTTTCTTAAAACTGATCAGAGAATCGTGTTCCATAGACATATTGAACATGTTGTTATTGAATGTTCAGCCATTCATTATAAATAACACCAGTTATGATTTACTCTCAAAAAGCTGTCTGATCTAATAATATATTCTAGAAAGAGCTAGGTAAGCTACAGTGTCTTGTGGCTTTGTTAGGTTGTATTCTGGTTGTATTGAAAATATGAAATTACATAATACATGTATGTTGTAGATATTGTTAACATGAAATATGGTATGGTTTCATTTACAGGATAAAAGAAATGACCCCTTGCCCGTGACAGCAGGTGATACTGAGTTGGGACAGACTCGTGACAATGGTGCAGTTGTTCAACATGTTCAAGATATCTCGTGAGTCCCTGGAGTCCGGGGTTGGGGTCATACTTAGGGTCCCCGCCCTCTTTGTCATGGAGGTGTGGTACCGCACTGACCCCCTCAAGACAGTCCAGGTGCAGACCAAGGATGTGGAGATCATCATCAAAGTCGTCTATTACATGGGTAGGAGAAATCTACACTGCTTCTTTTTTTGTGGGGGCGGTGGGGTAGCCTGGTGGTTAAAGCGTTCGCTCGTCATGGCGAAGACCCAGGTTCGATTCCCCACATGGGTACAATGTGTGAAGCCCATTTCTGGTGTCCCCCGCGGTGATATTGCTGGAATATTGTTAAAAGCGGCGTAAAACTGAACCTCACTCACTCATTCTTTTTTGTGCATACTCAGACCATGTCATGTTATGTATGGCTGTGGATGACACATCAAAGAGTTACTTCTCTTGCCTTTTAAATTTTGAGGTTCACTGGAAAGAGAAATGGGATGAAAAAAACAAATTGACTAACCATTTTTTTTCAAGAGATTCAAATCTGATTTTTTAAATATGGTAACAGCATCAGATATATTACATAAAAAACTGTTATTAGCCTATTCAGCCATGTTTGTGGAAAATGTAATGGAATTTGGTACTTGTGCAGTTGGTAGTGAGGCTGAAGATGATGTTTTACATTTTGACGTTCATTGAACCACTGCACCACAACTTTAACAAGAGCTGACATTTGTAGTAGCTATTTCCTAGCCTAAAAGTATAATGAAATGTTTTATATGTATAGTTAGTAGCGGGTGCTGAGTCTGCTGACACATGCAGAATCGTTTTGGGTAATATGTTAAATTTTTATCTTTGTTCACGGTGTTTGATTGTTTATATGTGTGTGTATGAATTTGGCTATATATGGATGAATATCTACTCAGAGTAGAAAGCTTAGGCAATATCTGGACTTTCCATGTTTGTTTGTAGTGGCTCCATGTTTTCTATTATTATTATGGGTTTTTTTCAGCTCTTCTGTTTGCTGTTGCTATCGGCACCCTCCCACTGAAGAAGCTGGTGACTTTCTATGTGTACCTGGTGAGCGGACTGATGTTGCTGGGGTCTTTCTTCCTGTCACAGAGCTTTGTCCAGGTGGAGGTGCTGGAGAACAAGGAGCAGACGTGGGCGGACCTGTTTGACGACAAAGAGCACACAGAGAGGCTGATCCTGCACCTCATCGCCCAAGCCTTCATGGCTGCTCTTATTGCATACCTGGTTGAGCTCAAGGATTGGACACGCTTCCTCATGCTTGTGTTTACACTGCCTGTACTGGCTCGCTCGCTGGGCTTCCCACTCAACGATTTACACATTGTGCATAACTTTGCATCCATTTTTTCCACACTCATTGTGTTGTTCTACGTGTTTAACAATCTTGGGAATATCATCGATAACTGTAAGGAAGGAATCAATAATGTTGTCCTTGCCTTCCGTGCGTTTGGAGTCTTCCCAGTTTTCATCACATTTTGGCATTCCGTACTGCTTCCCATACAACTGTTGATATTCTGGCTGGTCATGTTCATCACACAACTGTATGTGTATTTATATTCAGAAAACCATCCCATAATGCAGGAAGGTTGGATTGTGATTATCCTGGCAAGTATTGGCGAGTGTTGTGCAACACCAATAAGTCTGTTTGCATTATGTGTAACTATTACCTACGCGTCGTACAGTATTCTCACTTTGACCAAGCTTTACCTCCAGGGGTTTGAGGCATGGTCACAAGATGTGGATGCAATGCGAGGATGGACAGAGGGCTTCACGATGTTATTAATAGCCATTCAAACGGACCTCCTTGACCTTCGACCTCTTCAAAGAGCATTTCTGATGAGCATCCTTTTATTTATAGTAGCATCTTCGCTAATCCAGTCAATGTATGAAATCGCTGATCCAGTTTTATTGGCGCTTAGTGCGTCCCACAACAAGAGTGTGTTCAAACATGCGAGAGCTGTGGCTCTGTGTACGTTCCTGTGGATGTTCCCCCTGTACATGACCTACTCCATCTGTCAGTACTTTGACCTGGACTTCTGGCTCATGGTCATCGTGTCCAGCTGCATGCTGACCTCTGTGCAAGTCATTGGCTCACTGGCAGTGTACTCACTATTCATGTATGACTCTTTCAGGAATGAGCCATGGGAAATGCTGGATGATGTCATATACTGTGCACGGGCCATCACACGTGTACTGGAATTTGTTGTAGCTGTGTTTGTTGTGTGTTACGGACTGAAGGAGTCGTTGTTTGGAGAATGGAGCTGGATCAACTCCTCCATCTTGATTGTCCACTGTTACTTTAATGTGTGGCAGAGACTGCAGAGTGGCTGGAAGAGCTTCCTGCTGAGGAGGGAGGCTAGTAAGAAGGTTGAGAGTCTCCCATCAGCCTCCGAGTACCAGCTGTCCTGCTTGGATGATGTGTGTGCTATCTGCTACAATGAGATGAAGAGTGCAAGGGTGACTCCCTGTGGCCACTTCTTTCACGGTGTGTGTTTACGTAAATGGCTGTATGTGAAGGACAGTTGCCCGATGTGTCACCGTGACATTCACCAGGAAGTGGCAGCAGGATCCGATGCCAACAGGGAGGACTTTGTGATGAATCCAACTCTTGCATCCCAAGATGATGACGACAGTTCTGAGACAGCATCTTCACAGACAACAGAATCCAGTGACAGTGCAGCCATGGCTGATGATGGAAACATGGAGCTGGACAATGAACCCCATGACCTGCTGGGAGATGCCGGACATGTGTCCAAGTTTGACCTGATTGAGGGCGTGGCAGAAGCTGCGAGTCCCACAAACAATGACAATGATGATGTTGAGACTAATGCATGGGTAAGGGGGCAGGGTTTGGCTGACGGCGGTGGAGGGGGAGACGTCAGGAGAAGGTATGGGCCCATTCATCACCAGATCTGATGCCTACCTAGACATCTGTGTGTGCACTTCCTGATTGGTCATATCCCATATTGATTGCTTTATTCAAGTCGTTTCATTGAATCTATCATGTCAATAATTGTTAGTTTAAACTCAAGTAATCTGACATGCCATTTAAAATGGTGCAATTGTATGGTCCATGTAGATCCGTGAAAGTTCTGTTTAGGAACTACCCATGATGATCCGGTTAGAATTTGTCTTCAGTAACCCATGCTTGTCGTAAGAGACGACTAACAGGATCGGGTTGTCAGACGCGCTGACTTGGTTAGCACTGTCATCCTATCCCAGTTACGTAGATCGATGTTCATGCTGCTGATCACTGGATTGTCTCGTCCAGACACAATTATTTACAGACCGCCGCCATATAGCTGGAATGTTGCTGAGTGCCATGTTAAACAACAAACCAACTGTTTAGGAACCATTACCCTGAGATGTCACTGTTCTGTGTACATGGTCTGTAAATGAAGTGACTTGTTTTCGTTCATGACAAGACAGAGGAATATTTTTCTCTTTAAGTTATTATTTTGTTATTACACCACGTGTGGCAGTCCATGGGTGACTTGTCATCAGCTGTAACTGACATTGAGTTTGTACAGTTACTGTGTTGACATATCAGTATTGTCTGCTTAATATTGTTGTGTTTTACTATGAATACAGATATAACAAAATATCTTACCTCACACATAAATGTCGTTTTCTGGTTGGCTGAGTGCTCTTCTATTATTTACAATGTACCCAGCTTACAAGCAAGTAACATTTTCTGTTACCAACTGGGAATGCCAAACTGGGAATTCATTTGGTACTTTGTGTTAGTAATTCTTTATCTCGAATAATTGAGTCATGTATGATGTACGGAAATTACTGAAGTTTTGCGAATGCAAATTGATGTAAGGGAGATAACTCTGAACTTGTTTTTCTTGTTGTCTGACATTGACGGTATTGGCTATTTGCCTTACTCTGGTACTCCTTATTAGGATCTGATACCTGTGCTTCAAATAGTTCAAATTTATCATGGAGGTGTTCGGTAAAATAAAGTGGTCAGTGGTCCCTCGGGGCCCATGGGTTGATGTACCCTCTGTGTTTGTTAGAGGGTACATCAACCCATGACCCTCTCATGACCAGTGAACAAATTAATAAAGCTTGTGATGCATGACAGTGTTGTCCACAAACCATATTACCTGACATATGTAGTGAAAATATATAGTGTCTAATGTGAACAAGTTGTAGATGTTTAACATTGGTAGAAAAAAGGTAATTATGTGGTGAATGCACTAGTAACAATGCCCTCGATAGTCTGTGAAATATACTGAGAGAAATAAATAAAGGATCACAGGAAAATGCAAGCGTTCTTTTATTATTTTCCTGTTTTCATCGCCAGTGATATTCAAAGTTTGTGATGAAAGCTGGAAAATATTAAAGGAATGCATGAATTTTCCTGTGATCCTTTGGGGCGGTGGGGTAGTCTAGTGGTTAAAGCGTTGGCTTGGGGGGTTCGAATCCCCACATGGGTACAATGAGTGAAGCCCATTTCTGGTGTCCCCCCATATTGCTGGAATATTGCTAAAAGCGGCATAAAACCAAACACAGTCAGTCAGTCCCGTGATCCTTTATTTGTTTCCCTCAGTATATTTCTAGGGCGCACCTTTCACTGCATCATAGACCATCTGAGAATAGTGAATGGATGTGAAACATGAATGTACACAGTGTTGTTTTCTTCATGAACATGAGCCAGGAAACAGATTTAGTGTGCCCAACTATTTGTATTTCAGAGCATACTTGTTTCTGTCATGTCTGTGCCTGATTATTATAGAGCCAAGATGTAAATATTGAGTTATTTATTTGTTAAATATTGTGTTGGAGGTGAACCAAGGCTGCCTGATATTGGTGCTGCTGCGCACCTATTATGTTATTTTAGTAACTCTATGTCCATTAACTTGTTTAAGAGCTGCAGCGGTTGGTGATATTCCTTCTGATTGTGATGATATTTGGTAGTAACTGAGTAATACAGTTATGCTGGGATAGTTCTGTCATTCAAGACAAGTTGGACAGTAGCAGGTGACATCCACAGAAATCACTGTGATGCAGTAACACAACTCCCTCACTTATGCACTGGTGAAGGTCATACATTCTTTCCTGGTGGTGGCTAAAGCGTCCGCTCGTCAATCCGAAGACCTGGGCTCGATTCCCCACATGGGTACAATGTGTGAAGCCCATTTCTGGTGTCCCTCACTGTGATATTGCTAAAAGCGGTGCAAAACTAAACTTACTCACTTTCCTGATGGTATTTAGTAAGAGACTTGGAGGGTGTATTCACAGTTAGTTGGGGTATCAGGGATCTGTGAGGTTAAAGGTGTGTTCATGTTGCTGAAAGTAAGCTATGAATCCAATACATCATTAACTTTAGTTGATGTATGCTTGTGTTGTCATGTGGAAATGACAATATCCGATCAATCTTGTTCATATTGACATGTTGCATATCTTGCCCGATTGTGAACAAAACCCATTACTGGAGGTATACTAGCAATGTCTTAATATCTGTCATGCTAATAATGACATGTAATGTGTATAATAAACCACTCTTACACATCATAGTTCATTTGTTTATTGACCATTTATTGGCAGCATTGAAGCAATTGTATCATGAAACCATTGATATGCAGCCATTATATGTACTAGAATCCAGTGATTGTGGGTGTCACAGAGGTAGTAAACAATCTCTTTGGGCTTGTCTTCCTTACATGTCGAGCACATTTCTGGTGTCCTCAGCCATGTTATTGCTGGAATATTGCTAAAAGCAGCATAAATCTAAACTCACTCACAACATGTTGAAATATATATAAATTCAGTTCCAGGTGCTTTAAACCCAACTCAATCATCTGAAAAAGAACTGGATATGTGGTGATGTGTCACTGAACCACCAGATTCAGCCTGGTCCTTCCAGAACCTGGCTGAGACTACAGACAGGGTCTCTGTGTCACATTGTACCTTTATTAAATATCAGACTAACCCCAAATTCAACAATGGGGGTGAAGATAAATGCAGCAGAGTCGAAGCACATATCACCAATCCTTTATTTCCCCAGGGATCTTTGGTACCTACCCTAATCCCTGGATCCATACCTGCAATTTTATGATCTTAAATTTCCCATCCATGAATTTTGTCTACACCCTTTCCACCTATACAAATGTCAAATCAAAGACCATATTGAATCAAATTTATGAAAAAAAAATGAAATGAGTGAAGGTGGTGGACTTGAAGACATGGATTCCTCCAAACGATTTTTGAGGGCGTTTTGTTTTTTCGTTATGTAATGTTTTAGATGTTGAATTTCCCAATCGGGTGGATACCGCCACCCTAGCGTTCTCATTGGTCCGTTCGACTGAGTGCCATAGAAAATCAAATTAACAAATGAAAACCAAGGGCGGGTAATTTGAGTATTCCAGAAGAAAAGGAATAGTTCCAGTGGTGAGTGAAAGTTTTTAAGACATGCGAGCCCTTGGGATATAGAAGTTGACAGATACACAGCACACACGTGTGGGTAGATAAGTACCAGGACAGGCAGGTAACCTTCGTTGATCATATATAGCTACGCGCAGTTGTGCACACACAGAGAAACTCAGTAGCTGTCCGCCAACTCACAAAGTCAATGACCTCCATGAGATTGAGTTCAGTAATGATGGCGTAATAAGTTGACATAAGTGTACATTCATTTGTTTCCTGGGATTATATAATATATTACATGAATCTTCTTTTGTGAGCAGAGAGAGCAAGGAAAACTTGGACGTTCTCAGTTGCTGTGGACTACTTCAGGGACGCGGGTTTTAGGCCTGAACACTGACCTTTTTTCATGTCCTGAAGAAATTGAGGAAATCTAGACTTGCTTTATTTAGGGTTTTAGCACTGCAGATGGGGCTTGGCGGTAGGGAAAATATGTGGTTCAGGGACTGAGAGACAGACTAGGACAAGCCGTGCAACCGGAGCTGGAAGATTTAGGCTTTCGTGTATTAATTTGCTATGTACGAATATCTATGATATATTACATTAAATGTAACGTTTACGACAGGTTTAATATATAATATACGTACGGTTAATTCTTCTATAAATTTGGGACATATGTTTGTAAATATAGATGTAAGAATACGTAAGTGCTAATCCCATGAACAACCGTTACACGTCTTGCCAATTTAATTAAGAAAACTTTATCGTAAAGACCAGTCATCATGCAATATATGTATTTTTAAAAAAACCACTTTATAGGAATAGTAAACACTGCCGCCTGGAAACAAAATCCGACGATATATAAACATGTATGCTTTTCATGTCTAAGTATGTAACATAATTAGAAGCGCTTGTAAAATATGATAAGTGTACCGTTGGATTACCACGTCAGGTCACGATGTATTGTATCAAATATTTATTTCCATTTGTAATTTAAAGATTTGATAAATATTTGCCCCATAATAATTTTAAATGTATATTTAATAAGTCATTATTCAGTTTCCTTTGGTTTGGTTTGTCTATGAGTGGAAGGAAGCTGCTACGAATTCTCCACAGCTATCCATGCTCATCCATGCTTTGAGCTATGAAATACACAGTGCCATTTTAGAAAGTGGTCAAATGTAACATATGTTATATTTGGGATTACACTTTCTTAGTAAAGTACAGATTCTAGTACTTTTCTGGGGTTGAGTCCCATCCCATCAAAGTCAGGCACCTAATCGCCAGCACACAAAGTCAGACGCCTAGACCGCTCAGCCACCGCGGCCTCATAAAGAAGGCTTAGATTCCTGAGTTTGTGTGCTTGCGATTAGGTGCCCGACTTTGAGAGTGTCGGTTTGAATTCCGGATGAGACTCAACCCCCCAAAAGTACTAGAATCTGTGCTTTACTAAGAAAGTGTAATCCCAAATATAACATATGTTACATGCTTTGAGCTATATACTCACTCAACTCTTACCTTCGGTAACGTCATCGCGAACCTTTGGCCTTGCCAGTTTTGTTTTAGGCTGGCATTCCACGAACTGACGTAAAAGAGTTAACTGCCACTCACTCTACCACAACGCCCTACCAGGTACCCATCCACTACTGGGTGAACTCAGGTACAATTCGAAAAGTCACTACACATGGCAGGACAGGAGCCCCAGAAACAGCCCTCGAGGGGTACGTGGCCTATCCATTCAGTTCTGCCAACTGTTCTTCGCAGTATATAAGATATGGCTTATCTCGGGAGGGCCAGAGTTGGTCAACAAGGTCTGTGCGGGATGATAGATTAAAATGTACACGTGCGTTTGTTTGCACTCTGGAAACGGCTCACTTGACTATGACGTCCGGATCGGCTTGCTTTGTAGGATGTTACGGATTTGCTCAGTGCATTTGCGATATTTAAATTACAGCAACATAATAACTACGTAATTTTCATACCGAAAATATATGTAGCAGTGAAATATAAGAATTTATATAGAAGACTTATATATTCATAATTATTTGATTCATATTTGACACGGTATTCGTGGAGCATGTCATAAGTACAAACCTACATGTGTCCAGCATTATCACCCAAACATATGTATAGCAAGTCTGAGTTTTACATATATATTACTGATTGACAAATGAATTGGCAATGAACAGCTAAGAATAAATGGGTTGACTGCTTTGCTAAATATCAGAATATGAGTGTAGAGGTTCTATACTTTGACAACAGTGATGAAAGAGCGCTGCTGTAAACCCAACATTAATTTTAAGCCGCCAAAGTTCTTGTTCGAAGTTAGTTGTCATGCCAGTGTGCCAAATGGGGTAACGTTCGTGAGGAACACGAGTTTCAACTGACACGTACTATCCACGAATGATTCATTCAAGTTTATGTTGTTCTCTCATCAGATCATCAATTGATGATCTGAGTTCACCAGTCTCAGTACTGACTTGTGCTTGCATTCATAGGCACTTGAGGGATTTACCTATGTGTTTTTCAACAAACGGTTGATTAACAATAGGGTGTAAAACACTACACTTTGCATTCAATATTTCAGCTGTCGTTATTTACGCAGTAATTGATCATCGTCGGTAACACATCCGTTTAAAACGAAACCATAAGTCCAGAGTGTGCCCGTTAAAAGAGCACTTGTAGCCACTTTTCCAAGATTTGTCCCATTCCCTGTTGACAATCTTAAATGCGACGTCTTCGTATGGCGGTCCGGCACTGAAGCGGATTATAACCAAGTCTTTGCTCTCTTCACATGGGATACTGCTATATGTGGGCGTTGCCGACCTGTCAATCATATCCGGGTAAAAGATGGTAAATGTGTATCCCATGACAGTTTTTGGCGGGGGATTGTCGATGTCGTAATGGGTACGGTTGTACTTGTTCCAAACAAACCCTGTCTTAACACGGTTTAAGTATCTTGGCTTCCTCGGTATGTATTTAGATCCCCAAGTATACATTTGTTTCCGAAGTGTATATTCATTCTCGAAACTGATTTCATCCTCCTGCTCCACGTTTTCCACGTGCTCCACGTGCAGTGGATGGTTGTACATTTCAAGCACCCGCTGACGGGCTTTTCGAAGTTTTTCCCGATCGTCTGCCGGATCAGTAACAATTATGTCCCGGTCGATTTCAGATTCCTTTAAATATTTTGGAGAGTAATCTTCTTCAAAAAGGTCAATACTCCGCCGTACGTAATGACGAGTTATTGATTTTGAATGTCCTTTCTCTTGACCGACAACTGCAGTGGGTGACTTATTACCATGATGACTTGACACACCCGGCACTCCCTTCGTGTCTTTATCACGTGACTCCATAACAGTTTCTTTGGTATCGCCATTAGCGCACGACAGCTCTGAAATAATTGTATCAATATTTTGTTTTACTAAAGGTTTTTGGAGTTCTTGAAGTCTTGCGTACGATAGATAAAATCTTAATTTGTGGAGCAAACATTCCCAGTAACTTACATCGACGTCCTTTCTGGAGTCTATCTTCTCTTCAATTTGGTTCCTAAGAATGGCAAGCTGATTGATAGTTTTCCCTCTAAATACGACCTCGACATCTGGTGACACGGCCAGGTTTATCCCACTTCTCCTCAACGCGTCGTCATCCACGTTGTTCTCTTCCAGATAATGCCCTACAACGTTCATCACGTCTTCCCAGTAGACACAGTCATCACCCTCGATTTCTTGACACACTTTAATGTCCACAGCTACATCGCCAAGGTCACTGACACCGAGCCGCGCTATGACGTTTAAAGGATAATTGCTTGGATGGTCGGCGTGACCCGTCTCTTTAAAATGGACGAGCAAATCTATTGGCTGTGGTCTTCCTTGATTCAGACGTATCTTGGTTCGTTCTCGCGCTTGACGTAACATAAAGGCGTTTTCTTCTTTCTCCCAGTTTTCAAATTCTCCAGCCAGCTGAACTTTTCGTGTCTCTTTATTTTCTCTCATTCGCTCTTCACGAAGTCGCTCACGTTCTAAACGCCTTTTCTTTATATTTTCAAGCTCTGTCTTATGGTCTTCCAATAAATTCGTTTTCTTTCGACCACTGTCATAACCATGTCTTCGTTTTCTATCTCGCTGTTCCTTTTTGATCCACACAAATTCCTTATCAGCATTCTCATCAGGAATCAGTTTATACAAGGAATGTGCTTGTGGGGGCACCGCACTGCAGTTTTCCTTGTTGACGGACAAGAAAGGTCCATTCTTCAGTGGTAGCTGTTGACGGACTGGCGATGGCGTCTGAAACGCACTGCAGCAAAACTTCTTGCTTGGGGTTAACATTTTACGTGTTTACAAGTAAAATAACCAACCTGTATGTAACATTCATTCAGCGGTCCTTTCCCCTTGCTATCGACAACAATGCTCTCGACAACACACGCTCCTCTTATATATCACCGGTATGAGGTTTGTCGGACGATGGCGATGTACGGTAAACGACATCAAACGTTCATCCAACGTGTGAATGTTTATTATCTATGGAAATCCCCCTATTCTATAAATAGCACCAATGACAAAGGGAGGTAACCCCTGCGAAGTTGCGAGCTAATTGTCAAATGTTCGTGTCTTGATCACAGTGACTTGTTAAACCACGATGTAAACATTGAACTGAAATAATGCTGGGACATAAAAGATAACAAAACAAGTTAATAAACAACTGTTTTGATAGAAGAGGTACAGTATATGTACTCTATTCGTGGCAAAGAGAGCGTATCTGTCCATGTTGTGGTCACTGTCATTGTTTCCAAGGTAAACAAGACGATGCTGTGAGTCGAGAAGAGGCTATCGAGTTCGCACTGTGCAAAATGGCGACAAGGAAAGTGTTCGATGGAGTATTCCATGACCTGCCGGCCCAGGAGTCGAAGACAATACGTATTTTCTTCAGCTCGACGTTCACAGGTGAGGAAACGGATTACACTGTTTGACAACCTGCTCATATTATGTAGTCAACTTATTGGTTATTCGTTGCCTCCCTGGATACGGGCCGTTTGTTTATCAGTTGTAGTGTGATGCATCTGCACAGTCTTATATTTCCAGTTACACGTGCATCTACAAGAACTAAGATTTTAATTATTTGGGTATTTTGGACATAAAAAATATATGACTAAATGAGCCCCTTGAACCTAGCCGAGACCCAGAGACTGACTAGCGGAGCCTTGTAGATATTGACTATAATACTTATTAGGGGACTTAGGCTTATCCTTGGCTGATCCCTTGATTTCAGGGTGGGGTGGATGGGGTGTTTATCAGACGGGTGGATAACTAAATCATGAGAGATGTGTATGAAGATTTCTTATATTGATAAGGAAGAATTATATTATGATACTATAAACAAAAAATCATAAATACAAATGACACATTTGCATTGACCACAATGAACATTTGAAATGAATAAATATCATTTTGAAATATAATATGCATGTTAAATACCTGTGACATGGTTGTGGTTTAAGTAACCGTTCCATCTACTTATCCACTGACCTCAGCAATATACTTCTTTCTGACATTGCAATATTTATTATTAAAAGTCCCACTAGTTCTTGGGCTTATGACAAACATGAAACAATGCAGCTGCTATTAATGTGAAAAAAAAAAAAAATAAATGTTCTTAATCACTGAATACACACATAGCTTTATATTCAACTCTCTCACACACACTTGAAAGTCTGTACAATGTCAAGCAATTTTCAAACATATTTCAATGGCAAGAAATTATATTTTGTTGGAGCCATGGAGTGAAAAAATTCAAACATACCTTTCACCCAAACTTCCTGAGAACACAAAAGAAATATCCATACATGAATAATCAGTTCACCACTTGCAGCTCCAGTGAGTAAAACCAGCTGATCGCACAGCTTCAGCAGCTGTAACTTGCTGGTGCAGGTCATGTAGGTAATGGTGTAACAAGGATGTCTTGTAACAGAAGTCAGAACAAATGCCCTAAATCATACTTGTACTTGAAAATATATATCTACTTCGAAATATATAGACCCATGAAGATCCAGGTTAGAATTGGTCTCCAGCAACCCATGTTTGTCTTAAGAGACGACTAACAGGATAGGGAGAAAGATTTCCTTCCGTCCCCCCATTTTTTCCTTCTGTAGAGTAACTGAGGTAACGCAAAGTGGTTCGACCCTATATATTGTAATTGATATTTGGGCTTTTAGTTATTTTTGTGAGTTCTCTAGTAATTGTTGTCTTAGGTTTTGTTAATAATTTTAGTATATATTTAATATATATATTAGGGGTGTCGCGATACGGTAATGTATCGATGCATCGATACATTTTTACTGACGATACAATACGCGATACATGCTTGCGTGTATCGATTCCTATTTTAAAACTTTATCGATTCAAATTTTTATGCTATATCCATCTCCTTCAAAGTCTTGATAGTAAAATTATACGAGACCGCTCCGATAAATAGATGTAGCTAGCTTTACTTAAAAAATAGGTTGGAAACTAACAGCTTTTGTGATTGGCTTCAGTATTTTGGTGGACCAATCAGCAAGCGCGTACGTTGCCGGTAAGGTAATGCTATGAAAAGGCGCGAAAATTATGTATCGCGATACGTATCGTATCGTGACCTTAAAATCGTGATACGTATCGTATCGTGAGATGGGTGTATCGTGACACCCCTAATATATATACATATTATTTGGGATGGGGGAATGGGAGGAACTCTTACCCGATTGTTTGGTCCAGACTTGATTATTTACAGACCTGTGCCATATAGCTGGAATATTGCTGAGTGTGGCGTTAAACAACAACCAAAGCAAATCAAAATATATATACATGTACATGTCTACAGATATGTAAAGATACATTATATATTACATGCAGTCATCTATACATGCTTTCAGATCATTACTTGCATGACATTATTGTAATAGATAGAACTTTTGTTCTTTAATAAAATCAATATTTCAAAGTGCCTGCTACAGAGGAAGAAACCTCCAGAGCAAACAGGTCTCTATATATTACAATGTTGACAGTGTAATGTAGATGTATATCATGTTATTGTATTTGCACAGATTAGTTAATTGATGAAACAGGTTTCTTTGAGTATTACAATAAATAACATGGATCTCTGAGTTTTCAATATAACACACACAAAATCTCATTCATACTACACATAAGTGACAGTAGGGGAAAATATATGACAGACATTGTGTAGTTACACATGTGTTCAGGGATGTTAGTTACAGTAACTAAAGCATGTGCACACACCCACCACACCACCACACCCATCCCGCCCTGCCCCTCCATACACCACACCACGTCCTACCCTGCCCCTCCATACACCACACCACACCACACCACACCCATCCCGCCCTGCCCCGCCCTGCCCCGCCCCGCCTTGCCCTCTCCATACACCACACCACGCCCCACCCTGCCCCACCATGCACCACACCACTTCCCACCCTGCCCCACCATGCACCACACCACGCCCCACCCTGCCCCTCCATACACCACACCACGCCCCACCCTGCCCCACCCCTGCCCCTCTCCATACACCACACCCATCCCGCCTCTGCCCCTCCATACACCACACACACCACGCCCCATCCTGTCCCTCCATACACCACGCCCCACTCCTGTCCCACTCCTGCCTGCCCTCCATACACCACACCACGCCCGCCCACCCTGTCCCTCCATACACCACGCACCACCCTGCCCTGTCCCACCCTGCCCCTCCATACACCACACCACGCCCCACCCTGTCCCTCCATACACCACTTCCCACCCTGCCCCACCATGCACCACACCACGCCCCACCCAGCCCCCTCCATACACCACACCACGCCCCACCCTGCCCCTCCATGCCCCTCCATACACCACACCATCATTCCCACCCTGTCCCTCCATACACACCACCTCCCCACCCTGCCCCACCATGCACCACACCACGTCCCACCCTGCCCTCCATACACCACACCACCCTGCCCCTCCATACACCACACCACATCCCACCCTGCCCTCCATACACCACACACCCATCCCGCCCCTGCCCTCTCCATACACCATCACACCACGCCCCATCCTGTCCCTCCATACACCACGCCCCACCCTGTCCCACCCTGCCCCTCCATACACCACACAAAGTTCCAAATTGTCCCTCCATACACCACGCCCCACCTGTCCCATCCTGCCCCTCCATACACCACACCACGTCCCACCCTGTCCCTCCATACACCACGTCCCACCCTGCCCCACCATGCACCACACCACACCTCAGTAAACATGCATTATCATGCATAATATGTATTTGTATGGTATACATAATATAAGTCCTACACCTAAATACAACCCTGTAGGTGACACTTGGGCTTCAACTGGATTCCCTCAGTGGTGACAAGATCTAATACTTGCTGTTTGTAGTGCCTGGAATTACTGAATGCCCTAAACTATTTCCAAAGTTACCTTTTTGAGAGGCATATAGAAGTTGGAGTAAATATATAAATATATACATATACATTATCCTTGCTTATTTCCAAAGTTATTGGCCCAGTTAAAAACATTTCAATGGTGATATAATTATGACAATATGTATTGACTATTGAGACAAATATTAAAACACTGTAACAATATAACCTACCACACATATAGAAAACTAAGTAATATCAAAGCATATGAAATATATTTCTAACCTGTAATGATACTTGCTCTGACAAAACTAAACCCCATGCAAATGGTGGTGATGGTCAGTCAAGGTGTGGTGGCTTGTTAGCAGGTGCTTGCTGAATGCTAGGTCCACACATTGAACAAGGCCAATCAGGCATAAGCTGACCTGAACAAAGCAACCAACATGCTAAACACTTAATAAAAGTTCAAACTGAGAAGCTGTGGAGGGACTTGTTCAACAAAGCAGTCTTTGGGCTACTCTGGTCATAAATCTATGCTAAAGTAAGATCAGTAAAGATTTATGATCATCTTAGTACTAAGATTGCTTTGACAAATGGGACACAGATCTGTCATATTCATGGCAACACAGTTACAGGTGAATATATTATTTCAATACCATATATGGTAATATGCAAAATGTGCAAAGTTCACATATACACAACACTGCCACATAACTTTAGTCAGATATATTTCTCCATGCCAGTTTCATCCAATAGATTTGAATGTAAATTAGTCAAGAATGGAATTAGTGCCATATAGATTCCCAGTATTTTTTCTGACCATTTTCTGACCATACAACAGGCTCAGGTTCACAACATGGACAATATGAGCTGTCATGACACTTTGGGAGAAACAGGTGGTTCAGAATTCTTTAGCAGGTCTTGGGTTTGACACTTGATGTATGGCATATTTCAGATGTGTGCCAGTTGACTAAACTAGTAAATGTCAATGGATGTGGATGTTCCCCTTCTACAGAATAATGGGCTTCAAATGACTTGTGGACTCAAGTGATGACATTGTGTGTTGTAGATATGACGATGGAGAGGAACATGTTGATGAAGGAGTCAGTGCCCCGGCTCAGGGACTACTGTCTGGCCCGAGGACTAGACTTCCAGGTAGCACAGACTGAGGGAGTCGGGGGTGAGAGAGAGGAGGAAGGGCGGACAGGGAGGAGAGGAAGGGGCTGGACAGGGAGGATAGTGAAGGGTGGGAGAGGGAGGGAGGAGGGAAGGGAGGGAGAGGAGGAGGGAGGGAAGGGCGTAGGGTGGGGAATATGAGGTGGGGCAGAGGAGGGTGAGGGGTTTAGGTGAGGGAACATAGGGTGGGGAATGTGAGGTGGGGCAGGGACAGAGGGAGGGGGCTTAGGGTGAGGGAACACAGGGTGGGGAATGTGAGGTGGGGGTCAGAGGGAGGAGGGGTTTAGGTGAGGTGGGGCACACAGGCTAGGGGAGGGGTTTAGGGTGAGGATTAATGTCTAGATGTGAGGTGAGGGGTTGAGGGAGGGAAGGGGGTTTAGGTAACATGGTAACACTAGCTGTGAATGGAGAGTGAGGCCACGGAACACTGACTGCAGAGCTGTAACACTGAAAGTGGGGAACATGGTAACACTGACTGAATGTAAAGTGAGGCCATGGTAACACTGACTGAATGTAAAAAGTGAGGACATGGAAACACTGACTGAATGTAGGAAGTGAGGAGCACGGGTAACACCTGACTGAATGTAAAGTGAGGACATGGTAACACTGATTGAATGTAAATGGGGACATGGTAACACTGACTGAATGTAAAGTGAGGGACATAAGGTAAATGAGGGACATTACTGAATGTAAAGGACATGGTAACACTGACTGAATGTAAAAGTGGGGATATGGAACACTGGACTGAATGTAAAGTGGGGACATTGTAACACTGACTGAATGTAAAAATAGGGGAACATAACACTGGAATGTAAAGTGGGACATGGTAACACTGGAATGACATGGTAACAACTGAACGGCTGGGGACATGGTAACATGACAGAATGTAAAGTGAGGGACATGGTAACACTGACTGAATGTAAAGTGGGGACATGGTAACACTGACTGAATGTAAAGTGGGGACATTGTAACACTGACTGAATGTAAAGTGAGGACATGGTAACACTTACTGAATGTAAAGTGGGGACATGGTAACACTGAATGTAAAGTGGGGACATGGTAACACTGACTTAATGTAAAGTTAGGACATGGTAACACTTACTGAATGTAAAGTGAGGACATGGTAACACTGAATGTAAAGTGGGGACATGGTAACACTGACTTAATGTAAAGTTAGGACATGGTAACACTGACTGAATGTAAAGTGAGGACATGGTAACACTGAATGTAAAGTGGGGACATGGTAACACTGAATGTAAAGTGGGGACGTGGTAACACTGAATGTAAAGTTAGGACATGGTAACACTGACTGAATGTAAAGTGGGGACATGGTAACACTGAATGTAAAGTGGGGACATGGTAACACTGACTGAATGTAAAGTGGGGACATGGTAACACTGACTGAATGCAAAGTGGGGACATGGTAACACTGACTGAATGTAAAGTGAGGACATGGTAACACTTACTGAATGTAAAGTGGGGACATGGTAACACTGACTGAATGTAAAGTGGGGACATGGTAACACTGAATGTAAAGTGGGTACATGGTAACACTGACTGAATGTTGAACTGTAATCTTGTTGAAGGTGGTTGACATGCGCTGGGGTGTGAGGGAAGAAACATCCGTGGACCAAATGACAACAGAGCTGTGCCTGAGGGAGGTCAACAATTGCCAACAGATCTCCATGGGCCCAAATTTTGTGGTAACTAAATACCTGTATTGAAACTCTAAACTTTCTTGTCTTGTGTCTCAGGTGTTGTTTGATATGTGATGTTGTGTTCCAGGTGTTGTTTGGTGTGATGATGTGTTCCAGGTGTTGTGTTCCAGGTGTTGTTTGATGTGTGATGTTGTGTTCCAGGTGTGATGTTTAATGTGTGTTTGATGTTGTGTTGTTCCAGTGCTGTGATGTGCGATGTGTTTGATGTGTGGTGTTGTGTTCCAGGTGTTGTTTGATGATGCAAGGTGGCAGGTGATGTGTGATGTTGTGTTCCAGGTGTTGTTTGATGTGTGGTGTTGTGTTTCAGGTGTGCTTGATGTGTGATGTTGTGTTCCAGGTGTTGTTTGATGTGTGGTGTTGTGTTCCAGGTGTTGTTTGATGTGTGATGTTGTGTTCCAGGTGTTGTTTGATGATGTGGTGTTGTGTTCCAGGTGTTGTTTGATGCGGATGTTGTGTTCCAGGTATGTTTGCATGTGTGGTGTTGTGTTGCCAGGTGTTTGCATGATGTGATGTTGTGTTCCAGGTGTTGTTTGATGTGTGATGTTGTGTTCCAGGTGTTGCATGATGTGTGATGTTGTGTTCCAGGTGTTGTATGTGATGTGTGTCCAGGGTGTTGTGTGATGTTGCCAGGTGTTGTTTGATGTGTGATGTTGTGTTCCAGGTGTTGTTTGATGTGTGGTGTTGTGTTCCAGGTGTTGTTTGATGTGTGATGATGTTGTGTTCCAGGTGTTGTTTGATGCGTGATGTTGTGTTCCAGGTGTTGTTTGATGTGTGATGTTGTGTTCCAGGTGTTGTTTGATGTGTGATGTTGTGTTCCAGGTGTTGTTTGATGTGTGATGTTGTGTTCCAGGTGTTGTTTGATGTGTGGTGTTGTGTCTCAGGTGTTGTTTGATGTGTGATGTTGTGTTCCAGGTGTTGTTTGATGTGTGATGTTGTGTTCCAGGTGTTGTTTGATGTGTGATGTTGTGTGTTCAGGTGTTGTTTGATGTGTGATGTTGTGTTCCAGGTGTTGTTTGATGTGTGATGTTGTGTTCCAGGTGTTGTTTGATGTGTGGTGTTGTGTTCCAGGTGTTGTTTGATGTGATGATGTTGTGTTCAGGTGTTGTTTGATGGGTGCGGTGTTGTGTTCAGATGTGTGTGTGTTGTGTTCCAGGTGTTGTTTGATGTGTGATGTTGCAGGTGTTCCAGGTGTTGTTTGATGTGTGGTGTTGTGTTCCAGGTGTTGTTTGATGTGTGATGTTGTGTTCCAGGTGTTGTTTGATGTGTGATGTTGTGTTCCAGGTGTTGTTTGATGTGTGATGTTGTGTTCCAGGTGTTGTTTGATGTGTGATGTTGTGTTCCAGGTGTTGCATGATGTGTGATGTTGTGTTCCAGGTGTTGTTTGATGTGTGATGTTGTGTTCCAGGTGTTGTTTGATGTGTGATGTTGTGTTCCAGGTGTTGTTTGATGTGTGGTGTTGTGTTCCAGGTGTTGTTTGATGTGTGATGTTGTGTTCCAGGTGTTGTTTGATGTGTGATGTTGTGTTCCAGGTGTTGTTTGATGTGTGATGTTGTGTTCCAGGTGTTGTTTGATGTGTGATGTTGTGTTCCAGGTGTTGTTTGATGTGTGATGTTGTGTTCCAGGTGTTATTTGATGTGTGATGTTGTGTTCCAGGTGTTGTTTGATGTGTGATGTTGTGTTCCAGGTGTTGTTTGATGTGTGGTGTTGTGTCTCAGGTGTGCTTGATGTGTGATGTTGTGTTCCAGGTGTTGCATGATGTGTTGTGTTGTGTTCCAGGTGTTGAATGATGTGTTGTGTTGTGTTCCAGGTGTTGCATGATGTGTGATGTTGTGTTCCAGGTGTTGTTTGATGTGTGATGTTGTGTTCCAGGTGTTGTTTGATGTGTGGTGTTGTGTCTCAGGTGTTGTTTGATGTGTGGTGTTGTGTTCCAGGTGTTGGATGATGTGTGGTGTTGTGTTCCAGGTGTTGCATGGTGTGTGATATTGTGTTCCAGGTGTTGTTTGATGTGTGATGTTGTGTTCCAGGTGTTCCTCGGTGATAGATATGGCAGTTGTCCTCTACCAGCCACAGTGCCTGTCACTGATTTCAGAGTTTTTCATCGTGTTGCAATGGCTATGGGTAAAGACATTTACCTCCTGGATAAATGGTATCTGCTTGACAACAATGCTGAACCGCCAGTTTACCAGATACAGCCAATCACAAACCTTCTACCTCATTACAATGACCGAGATCCAGCCAATCAGCATCTTCAAGAAAAAGTAAACCTTGACATGAATTCCATTTTTACATAACTAGCTGTGATATTCTGTCCGATTGCAAGGATATACCACATTGATTTACTTGATACATACGTTTGATAATAAGAGCTTGACCATTGAAACTAAGCTGATAAGGTTAAGATTTATTGTTCATAATTTCCCCACCATCTTGTATAACTAACAACATTCTATATCTACTGATTGTTTGTAATGTCATAGTCTGGAAAATGAAACTGACTTGGCACAGTTTTGGAAATGGAGATCTTCAGATGACTGGAATGGAGAGCTACAGGGTTATCAAAATGGCCATGTCATGTTATTAGTTTGGAAACATAAACAAGTGTTTTCCTGTCAGGACCAGAAGAGATGGAGAGAAGTTCAGAGCACACTACTGTCACTTTACCATGATCTGGCACAGGAGGCTCACCTGACCGGACACCTTGACCAGCAAGCATATGACAGATACTTTATGTCAGGTACTGTATCGGCAGATACTTTATGTCAGGTACTGTATGGGCAGATACTTCATGTCAGGTACTGTAAGTATGAATACTATATGTCAGGTACTGTATGGACAGATAAATTATGCCAGGTACTGTACGGGCAGATACTTTATGTCAGGTACTGTATGGGCAGATACTTCATGTTAGGTACTGTAAGTATGAATACGATATGTCAGGTACTGTATGGACAGATAGATTATGCCAGGTACTGTATGGTCAGATACATTATGTCAGGTACTGTACGGACAGATACTTCATGTCAGGTACTGTATGGACAGATAGATTATGCTAGGTACTGAATGGGCAGATACCTTATGTCAGGTACTGTATGGTCAGATACTTTATGTCAGGTACATATTTATGTCAAGTAGTGTATGGAGAGATACTTTATGTCAGGTACTGTATGGACAGATACTTTATGTCAGGTACTGTATGGGCAGGTACTTTGTGTCAGGTACTGTATGGATGAATGCTTAAGTCAAGTACTGTATGGACAGATACATTATGTCAGGTACTGTATGGGCAGATACTTCATGTCAGGTACTGTATGTATGAATATTTATGTCAAGTAGTGTATGGAGAGATACTTTATGTCAGGTGCGGTATGGACAGATACTTTATGTCAGGTACTGTATGGACAGGTATTTTATGTTAGGTACTGTAAGTATGAATACTTTATGTCAGGTACTGTATGGAGAGAGATAGATTATGCCAGGTACTGTATGGACAGATACTTTACATGAAGTACTGTATGGACAATGCTTTATATCAGGTACTGTATGGGCAGATACTTTATGTCAGGTACTGTATGGACAGGTATTTTATGTTAGGTACTGTAAGTATGAATACTTAATGTCAGGTACTGTATGGAGAGATAGATTATGCCAGGTACTGTATGGACAGATACTTTACATGAAGTACTGTATGGACAATGCTTTATATCAGGTACTGTACGGGCAGATACTTTATGTCAGGTACTGTATGGACAGGTATTTTATGTTAGGTACTGTAAGTATGAATACTTTATGTCAGGTACTGTATGGAGAGATAAATTATGCCAGGTACTGTATGGACAGATACTTTACATGAAGTACTGTATGGACAATGCTTTATATCAGGTACTGTACGGGCAGATTCTTTATGTCAGGTACTGTATGGTCAGATACATTATGTCAGGTACTGTAAGTATGAATACTTTATGTGAAGCACTGTATGGACAATGCTTTGTATCAGGTACTCTATGGACAGATACTATTATGTCAGGTACTGTATTGATAGATACTTTATGTGAAGTACTGTATGGATAGATACTTTATGTGAAGCACTGTATGGACAATGCTTTGTATCAGGTACTCTATGGACAGATACTATTATGTCAGGTACTGTATGGACAGATACATTATGTCAGGTACTGTTTGCCCAGGTACTTTATGTGAAGCACTGTAGTGACAGGTACTTTATGTCAGGTACTGTAGGGACAGGTGCTTTATGTCAGGTACTGTATGGACAGGTACTTTATGTCAGGTACTGTATGGACAGGTACTTTATGTCAGGTACTGTATAGACAGATACTTTATGTCAGGTACTGTATAGACAGATACCTTATGAGAAGTAGTGTATAGACAGATACTTTATGTCAGGTACTGTATGGACCTGGTACTTTATGAGAAGTAGTGTATGGACAGATACTTTATGGCAGGTACTGTATGTCAGGTACTGTATGGACAGATGCTTTATGTCAGGTACTGTTTGGACAGGTACTTTATGTCAGGTACTGTATGGACAGATACTCTATGTCAGGTACTGTATGGACAGGTTCTTTATGAAAAGTACTGTATGGACAGATACTTTATGGCAGGTACTGTGTGGACAGGTACTTTATGAGAAGTACTGTATATACAGATACTTTATGTCAGGTACTGTAGGGACAGGTACTTTATGTCAGGTACTGTAGGGCAGGTACTTTATGTCAGGTACTGTAGGGACAGGTACTTTATATCAGGTACTGTATGGACAGGTAATTTATGAGAAGTAGTGTATGGACAGATACTTTATGTCAGGTACTGTATGGACAGGTACTTTATTTCAGGTACTGTATGGGCAGATACTTTATGCCAGGTACTGTATGGGCAGATACTTCATGTCAGGTACTGTATGTATGAATATTTATGTCAAGTAGTGTATGGAGAGATACTTTATGTCAGGTACTGTATGGGCAGGTACTTTGTGTCAGGTACTGTATGGATGAATGCTTAAGTCAAGTACTGTATGGACAGATACATTATGTCAGGTACTGTATGGGCAGATACTTCATGTCAGGTACTGTATGTATGAATATTTATGTCAAGTAGTGTATGGAGAGATACTTTATGGCAGGTGCGGTATGGACAGATACTTTATGTCAGGTACTGTATGGACAGGTATTTTATGTTAGGTACTGTAAGTATGAATACTTTATGTCAGGTACTGTATGGAGAGAGATAGATTATGCCAGGTACTGTATGGACAGATACTTTACATGAAGTACTGTATGGACAATGCTTTATATCAGGTACTGTATGGGCAGATACTTTATGTCAGGTACTGTATGGACAGGTATTTTATGTTAGGTACTGTAAGTATGAATACTTAATGTCAGGTACTGTATGGAGAGATAGATTATGCCAGGTACTGTATGGACAGATACTTTACATGAAGTACTGTATGGACAATGCTTTATATCAGGTACTGTACGGGCAGATACTTTATGTCAGGTACTGTATGGACAGGTATTTTATGTTAGGTACTGTAAGTATGAATACTTTATGTCAGGTACTGTATGGAGAGATAAATTATGCCAGGTACTGTATGGACAGATACTTTACATGAAGTACTGTATGGACAATGCTTTATATCAGGTACTGTACGGGCAGATTCTTTATGTCAGGTACTGTATGGTCAGATACATTATGTCAGGTACTGTAAGTATGAATACTTTATGTGAAGCACTGTATGGACAATGCTTTGTATCAGGTACTCTATGGACAGATACTATTATGTCAGGTACTGTATTGATAGATACTTTATGTGAAGTACTGTATGGATAGATACTTTATGTGAAGCACTGTATGGACAATGCTTTGTATCAGGTACTCTATGGACAGATACTATTATGTCAGGTACTGTATGGACAGATACATTATGTCAGGTACTGTTTGCCCAGGTACTTTATGTGAAGCACTGTAGTGACAGGTACTTTATGTCAGGTACTGTAGGGGCAGGTGCTTTATGTCAGGTACTGTATGGACAGGTACTTTATGTCAGGTACTGTTTGGACAGGTACTTTATGAGAGGTAGAGTATGGACAAATACTTTATGGCAGGTTACTGTATGGGCAGGTACTTTATGTGAGGTACTGTATAGACAGATACTTTATGTCAGGTACTGTAGAGACAGGTACTTTATGTCAGGTACTGTAGGGACAGGTACTTTTTCTCAGGTCCTGTATGGACAGGCACTCTATGTCAGGTACTGTTTGGACAGATACTTTATGAGAAGTAGTGTATGGACAGATACTTTATGTCAGGTACTGTATGGACAGGTACTTTATGTCAGGTACTGTAGGGACAGGTACTTTATGTCAGGTACTGTATAGACAGATACCTTATGAGAAGTAGTGTATAGACAGATACTTTATGTCAGGTACTGTATGGACCGGTACTTTATGAGAAGTAGTGTATGGACAGATACTTTATGGCAGGTACTGTATGTCAGGTACTGTATGGACAGATGCTTTATGTCAGGTACTGTTTGGACAGGTACTTTATGTCAGGTACTGTATGGACAGATACTTTATGTCAGGTACTGTATGGACAGGTTCTTTATGAAAAGTACTGTATGGACAGATACTTTATGGCAGGTACTGTGTGGACAGGTACTTTATGAGAAGTACTGTATATACAGATACTTTATGTCAGGTACTGTAGGGACAGGTACTTTATGTCAGGTACTGTAGGGGCAGGTACTTTATGTCAGGTACTGTAGGGACAGGTACTTTATATCAGGTACTGTATGGACAGGTAATTTATGAGAAGTAGTGTATGGACAGATACTTTATGGCAGGTACTGTATGGACAGGTACTTTATTTCAGGCACTGTATGGACAGATACTTTATGGCAGGTACTGTGTGGACAGATACTTTATGAGAAGTACTGTATGTACAGATACTTTATGGCTGGTACTGTATGGACAGATACTTTATGGCAGGTACTGTGTGGACAGATACTTTATGTCAGGTACTGTATGCACAGGTACTTTATGGCTGGTACTGTATGGGCAGATACTTTATGTCAGGTACTGTATTGACAGATACTTTATGAGAAGTACTGTATGTACAGATACTTTATGGCTAGTACTGTATGGACACATACTTTATGGCAGGTACTGTGTGGACAGATACTTTATGAGAAGTACTGTATATACAGATACTTTATGGCTGATACTGTATGGACAGGTACTTTATGTCAGGCACTGTATGAACAGATACTTTATGTCAGGTACTGTATGGACAGGTACTTTATGGCTGGTACTGTATGGGCAGATACTTTATGTCAGGTACTGTAGGGGCAGGTACTTTATGTCAGGTACTGTAGAGACAGGTTGTTTATATCAGGTACTGTATGGACAGATACTTTATGGCTGGTACTGTATGTACAGGTACTTTATTTCAGGTAGTGTATGGACAGATACTTTATGGCAGGTACTGTGTGGACAGATACTTTATGAGAAGTTCTGTATGTACAGATACTTTATGGCTGGTACTGTGTGGGCAGATACTTTATGTCAGGTACTGTATGGACAGGTACTTTATGTCAGGTACTGAATGGACAGGTATTTTATGTGAAGTATTGTATGGACAGATACTTTATGACACATACTGTATGGACAGATACATTATGTCAGGTACTGTATTGACAGATACATTATGTCAGGT